AGTTGCAACATGGCCACAACTTTGGTTGTATTTTTTTTTTTTCCCCTCTTTTTTGCTTTTTCATGCATTTACTCTGTTTGCTTTCTAAAAACAGGTTTTGGAAAACCTTTTTGTTTGAATTATGCTGAATTTTTTTTGTGAGGAAATCCATTAGAGCGTGTTTATTGACAGAAAATGTTAAATGGAAGCTGGATGCGGTAGAGTCATAGCATTTGTAACCGTAGCTGAATTTTTTGCATGCTGTGCCAGCAAGTGAGTAGAATGCGCTTGGTGTTGCTCTTAGCTCTATGCCTGATGACTGTTTCCACTTTCTAATGCTAACCTTTTGCACCCACAAAATTTTTTAAAACCAGCTCTATTATTTTCTCAGCTTTGTCTTAGTTAAAGTATTGACATCCAGGAGAGCTAACAGGATTATTACTAGGCTGCCATAAAACAGACCTTATTCAGATTTTCATTCCATATTTCCTGAAACTCAGCAGGACTTTGCAAGACTACTCTGGGATCAAGAGGCATCTAGAGCTAAACATTTTGCTTCTTTCTCTTCCATTTAAATCAGCAGGAGACATTATTCATTAAAAAGCTCTGCTAAGGACATATTAAAAATCAAAATTATGTTCCTGGATGTTTACTGCAGTCTCACTTCTATTAAAAGCCCTATTTCTAAGGCACCTGTGTATCACAGGGCTCACCAATATAAATGCCAGTGCCAAAGTACCTCGTGCTGTGACTTGTTGTTTCCCATGCACATATAAAACTTTGAAAATGGGGTAGTTCACACACATTTGGAAGCATTTTTCCTCTGGAATTTTTTTGAGCATCTGGCACTGAGGCACGCAGTAAGTTCTTCCTAAGGCTGAGTCAGCAGGTTTCATACAGGAGTTTCTGGCAGTCTGTTCCTGCATGGAACCATTCCCGATGACCCATGCTGAAAACATGCTGGCTAACTGCCATTTCAAAGATTATTGAACCTTTTTTTTTAAGGTTCAAGGATCTGGGGAAATTACACTTTTAAATGATACAAAGATCTCTCTTGCTTGGTTTTACACAGCTCTGCCAAGGCAGGAGTTGAGGGCAATCCATGCATTCCAAACCAAGGTAGTGTCTAGGGGTAGTCATCCTTAATCCTTATCAATTCCTCCGTATTTCGATTTGATCACTTCATGCTAATACAAGCAAACATGATTAAAAAGAACAAGTTATTAAAGCTTAAAGATTTGTGGCCACCCTGCCTGTCCAGGTTCAGACAGGAAAGCCCACGGAGCATATGGCCTGCCCTCATCCAGAAGAGCCTCTGCAGGTCCCCAGAGCTTCAAAGCCCTGCGCACCCCGCTCCTGAATAAGGTCTCTGCATGCTGCTGCATTAGGTGAGATGGCCTTTTTTGCTGGCTTGCTGATGAGGAAATCTGTGTTAGAGAAATCCAGTTTCACCCCCTGGTGACAGTTAACATTTGTTTTAACTCTTGTCAGTGTTCAGCATTTGTGAGCTGGCTCTTCTTGCACCTCACACCAATGAAAATGTATTTACCAATGGGAACTCTTTCTCTCTTTATTTTGTTCTCGCTCAGGAGCCCCAAACTACAGTAATCCACAACCCTGATGGAAATAAGGTATTCAGAAAGAATCAACTCCATCTTGCTTTTCCACACCACACATTCCATCCACTATTCCACAGCACAATAGGGCCGTTTCAAGAATTTGTGAAGGAAAATCTCATTCCTGCATTTGTTACACCAGGTGTCTCTCAAGCCTGTTTCCATCCATGTCCATCTCCTGCGTGCGTCCTGCTGCTTCTGAGCTCCTGAAGCACTTGGGGGAGTTGGTAGCAGTGGGCAGAGCTCAGTGCCCTGTCCAGCCCAGCTCAGGGAGCAGGGGCTCTCTCTCATTTCAGCCAGAAATGCTGCAGTCTAAGGGAAACCTAACAGTGCTGTTCTCAGATTGTGGTGAGGTGATCCAGCGAGTTTTACATGCAGTCATCACCTCAAACAAAGATGTCATTTCCGTTTATTCCATCTGCTGTTTCTCAGCATGCTTATACATTGTGTTGTGACGTGTCTTTTGCACAGGACTTTGGTTTTCTTCCATAACATCACTGGGCAGTTTCAAAAAAAATGTCACATTTCAAGTGACAAAGAGGTCTTTTGATTTTTACATGTTTTCTTCATGCTCTTTTCTTTTTCTCATGTATTGTAATGTTTGCGTCTGGCAGCTGATTCCTAAAACGTGTTTTGTTTTGTTTTTTTCATGCATGGACTTGAAAAGGGCCAAGAAATACCATCATTTACATTAACACATGTTCCTAGGTTTCCTGAAGAGAACTTATGCTTCAACAAGAATTTCACTGTTTGCAGTGCTGACTTAATTCACATCCCACTTACCTAGTCTTAACTCCCTGTGGTTATTTCATAAGAGAAGGAGTGGATCTGAGTGACGAAATAACGCATGCAGACATTCCTCAAGCATGGAAGTACTGGTGGTGTGTGTTGTGCTTTTGTGTCCCAATCCTTTATTGTCCCCTACATCTGTCCAACACAGAACTTGTGTTTTCCTGTTAATACTCTTTCAGCTCCCCAAGTTTAAACCCATAGGCCATGTGCAGCCTGTGTTTGAACAGCAGGCTAATTTTTATCACTGAAGTCCACTAAAACCCAGAAAACCCAGATAAAATATTGGCATGACTACATCTACTTGATTTTATTACATAATCTCAGCAACTAAGATTCTCAATGTCCCAAAAGGTCACAGGAACAAATTAACCCCTTAATGAGGAGAGTTCCTCCTAAATTTATCTGAAAGACTGATCCTTGTAGTATGGCAACTGGAGTGGATGCTTCAGTGTTAGAGGCTACATCTGCCCCGTGAGCTTTGCATGGTGTTTACAACTCATATTTGTGTGAGGTTTTTGTTCACTTGTAAGTACTTTATCTAATATTTGAAGTGCTAGAGCATGATGTGTCCATGTAGAGTGGAATGTCTAACACAGCCAGGGCAGGGACAGCATGGTGGCTCGTTCAGTTTTGTTTGTGTGTGACTTAATTCCTCTAGCGTGACTTGTCAATGCTTATTTGGGTTTTGAAGGTCTGGGTAATGCATAAGCCCTCTTGAACGTTCCTTTGGCTCAGCCTTGTGAGGACACAGTAAATGAAGGGCACTGGCAAATTTACCTTTCATTATGTAATGGTAAAGTCCTTTAAAGAATTAAATACAATACTAGTTCTGTCTTCTCTCTCAGATAAAACAAGATCAGTTAATCTTTCTTCTTATTGAGCTGCAAATAAAAAAAAAATAAGTTTAAAATTCAAAAAAAGAAAAAAAAAAAAAAAAACATCTAGCTTAAAACTTTTCAGCTCTCTGCAGCTGTTAGATTTGACAGTGCCCTGTTGCATTTGCCCATTATATTTCATGTTTCTGGTAATTAAGGAAAGACTGAGATGCAATATCCTTGCCTTTTTAAGTACAATGGCTTAAGAATAAACTGTCTGATCAATGAGTCATTCCTCTGCATGACTGGTTGGTTGAAGAATACTGCTATGAAGATGCCTTAGTTTGTCAAAGTTCTTACCGTACGTTCATCAATTCTCCATCTCCTTAAAAAAATCACAAAAACCAGTATAAAAATGAGGTCATCTGATTCAATATGCTTCAGATCACTGTGAGACTTCATTTGAATATACATTGCTGAAGTCACACGAGCAGGAAATGGGTTGTAAACTGTAGAAGCCTGCATATTTAGAAGGTGGAATTGGAATGGAATGACTTATTTTGCACAGTTGGTTTAATCACTAAGCTTAAAATGGCAAGCACTCCTACTTGGCTGAAGTAATTCATACATTTCAGAATGGACTTTGTAGAGCTGGATGTTAAAGGAAAAAAAGTTCCCTGTACATTCCTGTGAATTAAAAGCATCAGACTGCAGGAATTGTATTTGTGTTCCCTCCTGTGGAGAATGGCAATGTTTGACATCCATTTCAGGTGGAAATGTCGGAATCAGTGTGTGACCATTTGTTTGTGAATGACATCCCACCCTGCTTCAAGGCTTTGCATGATTCCTGTAACTAATCCTGTCATTTTCCTAGGCACGCAAATAAGGCTTGGCTTGTTTTATACATTCAACTCATATTTACTTCTCAACAGGAATCAACAGAAAGTTCCAACACGACCATCGAAGATGAGGATGTGAAAGGTATGATTTTACACTGGAAATGTTTGGAGCAGCAGTAACATGAGTTTTGTGTTATATTTCAGTAGGCCATTAAACACAGAAACCCCTAATGAATCTTAGGAGAGAATAGTGTTTTTCCTGTTTTAGAAGCAATTACTTTTGATGTATTTCAGACTTAACTGTAACTTTTCCGTTCCCAAGACACCATTTCCCATGGTGCTTTGGGATTAATATAAAGTTACTGGTTTTTGACTAAGATATTAATTCCTGTAATAATAGAAGTAGATTTTAAATGTCTAAGTTAGTGCTTTGTAACTTTTACTTAATTTATGTTTAACATGCATTTGTGCATTTGGTTTGGTTTTGTTTTTTTTTTTTCATGTCACCATTTTTATTTTTATTCTGTTCAGATGCCAGTGTATTTTTTTTGTTTCATTTTGTTCTGTCAATACACTTATTTTAATCTTCTTTTATTCTTTAAAAAACTGACATAAAAACTTTTTTATAAACCTGATTTTGTAGCTTCACAGATAATATTTTTTCCACTTTTTCCCTTCTCTAAACATTATGCTGTGGTGTTACACATACCTATTTTGACAGCATTATGTTTTAAAGTGCAAAGGGTTTGAAAAAGGGAGTAGTTAGTTTGTGTGTCTTTGATTCACAAAATAGATTGGCTTTTGGCCTCCAAGAATTATGGTATATGTACAGGTGAAATGTGGGCCAGTGGTGACAGTAAAATAAAACAGGGAGAATGGATGTAACAAAGTGGTGGTGGTTTGAATTACTGTGAAAGGAAAGAAGAATTAGAGGGATCTGCAGCTGATTAATTGGAAAATAGTTTAATTTACCTTTAATCATAATGCTTTGTATTTATTTTTTCAAACTATTTGATGCAGTTTAACAACTAATCTTATTAAATTAATATTTTAATTATAGGGCCTCTGTGTGATGATGTAATGTGGTGTTACTACAGTAGGGATTTTAGAAAATTCTGTCTGAAGCTTACCACATCTTACCTCAGGGAGACACAATTATATGAAAAAAGAACAATGAAAATAATTTGCCTAATACTTTTATATGGTTCTGCAGTATCATACTTAAGGGCAAGTTGGATGGCCACAATACATGGTATTCCCAAACCAGAAAAGGGGATCTTACAGTAAGCACAGGTCAGAGGAACAAGATCCTGTTTGTGTCTTTCCCTGCAGTGTACAGGGATTTGATTTTCTGTTTATTTAAAAGACAAATATAATCTCCCGCTTATTAATTGTTCATGAACTTGTTTGTTTTTTACTTTTTAGTATTCCTCTCACACTTCCCATCTTTCCTCTGGAGGCTGTTGTTCATATTGTTTTATTATAAATTAAAGCTAACAGTGTCCCTACGGTCTAATTGGTAGAACGATTTAGGGAATAGGCAGTCCTGCAACCCTGACACCTGCTATAAGCTCAAGCTTCCTGCTCTGGCAAGGCACTTAGGAAAGATTATTTTCCCCACACACCAAGCTTTATTCCTGGATGTATATTTTGTAGAACAGTGAAAAAGCTGTTCTCTTGTCAGCAACAGCACTGCAGATAAAATACTGATAGGAACAAATGGATTTCAGAGGAAAGAGAGAGAATTCTCCAGGTCCTTCTTTAAACGTAGGCTCAAGATGACTCAAGATATTTGTCACCACGTTTGAAACCTAGAAGGAATGTTTTGCACCTTAGATGTTTATGAGCTTTTTGCTTTTCTTTGCAGCCTGGAGTGCAGCATGGGAAGAGGCTCTGTCCTTCCCAGGAAGGAGCAAGGGGCTGTGGCTGTAGCTGAGCAGTAGTATTAGTGGGTGTTTTATGGCATTGCAGTGTGATGCACACCTCCCAGGGAATGGCTCTGCACAGACAGGGCCAGGGCCCCTTCCTTTGTGCAGCCCACAGGGGCTGGGGCTTTGTTCTTTGGTGTTGATTTGCCTCTTTGCAGAGGTGTTGCTCCCACACCTCTGTTGGCCTGTTTTGGGGTACAGCATCCCCAGCACGCTCATGTCTCTGTGCGCTGTGGGAGCCAGTGCACACACGTGTCTGTGCCAAGTGTTATGAACATTAGGATTCATTAAGACAGGCAGCAATTAAAAGTGTCTTACATCACCTATCATTAATGTATCCTCAGGATCAAATTCTCCTCCTGTCTGTCAGGGATGAACGGAGCATTCTCCCCTTGTGTCAGGATCTCGCCTTGTTTTCACTTTTGAAGGCAGGTATTTAACTTGAAGACAGTAAATTCAGGCTTGCTTTCATTTTTTATTTACTGGAAATCTTAGTATCTGTAACATTGCCTTATTTATGTATACACTTACCTCTTTCAGGACTGGAACATATTTCTTTTAGTAGAAAAGCTTTAATAACTCAAGCAATAAGCTAATTATTTCATTTGAGTCTGAAATGAGTTGAAACTGTAGTTCAGGTCTGTTGCTAAAATAAATTTCTGACATTAACCATCGATCATGGGCTTATCTACATGACAGTGATCCCTCCTAAATATGATAGGAGCAGACAGGAAGAACATGCTGAGAACTGGACTATAGGCAATGCCTTCTTCTGGAATTGCTTGTAGGATTTCTTCTTCCTGTAGTAATGAGACTGGAACTACTGGGCAGCATCTCTGAGATATGGGTTTGATTTTTCAAGTAATGCTATGCAATAGCACCGTTATTTTTGTCTGCAGATTTTCAGAAAGGTGAGTTGTTAAGTTTCTCATGGTGTCTTTTTGCCCCCAGAGACAAATTAGCAAAAGCATCAGTAAGAATGATGCTTGGCAGTAGGGAATTGCTGAGCTGTAAGGCACTTACAGATTTGACAAATTGTGATTTGCCTGTGCTGCTTAATACATCTGGAAGGTACATTGCTTTGAAATATTTAATGTATTTGTAATTAATTTTCTACCTGTTGGCCTAATTTTATGTAACAGTAGAAGGAAAGCAGTTTAAACTATTTCTTTTGGAGTATACATTCCTCAAAAATCATTTGAATTTCTAAGAGCTTTTCCAAAGCTCTTTCAAAGCCCTTTGTATCCGAGTACCGGATACAGGGGTAAATCTGCGCTGGCATCTGAACAGAGTCACTCACACCTATGACCTTTACAACTGTTCTTTGGCACCCACATTGCCCCTGAAAGTACATCATTAACAATGTTTGTGTGCTCAAAGATTTTCTAAGTTCTTGCTGCTTCTAATTAAATTATCATTATTTTTCTTTTGGCCTTCTTTTTTTCTTCCTTCACATGTACTTGACCCTCACACAGCTTTCACAAAGGAGGAGGACATGGAGAGGTTGAGTTCCACCCACCACTCCTCCTCTTCCATTGCTTCTTCATCCCACTGGTCACCACCCTTGCCGTGCCCCAGAGGCCGCTCCTGCTGCCAGTGCCTGCTGAGGAGTCTGATCACACTCTACCTCTTCATCTTTGTTTGTTCATATGTTGTGTTTCTTTCCATCAATTCAGCGGGCAAGTCCATGAGAAATGCAAACTCAGAGAGTCAATCGCTTGAGTCTGAGCTCTCCCACTCCACTCCTTCCTCTGTACTATGTAAGTTGAGAGACTCATCTGTCAGATGATCTCCTTTGTCTCTCCTCTTCCCTCCCCACCATCTGACAGAAGCTCACAAAAGGTCAATTGCTGTGATCTTCCTGATCTAGGAATGACCTGTGCTTAGCCATTACAAAAGTAAAATTTCTTAGGTATTTTTTTCTTGTTATTAATTGTAAAAATATTTTCATCAGCTGTAACAGCCGAATAAATATAAATATGTCTATTTCAGAAAGCTATATCTTGCAGCAGTCATCTTTGCAGTGGTTTTCAACTTAAGGAGAGAAATTTGCGTCACCTCTTGCTTGGATCCTGGATAGGGCCTCAGCATTAATTACCTGTTACATTTATTATATCAAGTTCCTTTCTTGAGCATCCCTATTGATAAATCAGCCTTGAAGTTGCTGTGACAGATGTTAACTTGCAGTGTTGATAGGACAACTGGGAAATATCCTCCTCTGCTCAGGGGATCTCTGATGATCAGTGACCAGCTGACCATAAAGGAAATCTCCAGTGTTAAAATATGAGAGGGGAAAGGCACTGTGTTGGTAGAATGTAAAATACCTGGGTAGAGCATTTCTTGTTTGTAAATGAACTCAGAAATTCTTCAAAAATTCCTTGGAGGGGGTGAGACCTTGTGAGTTGAAATAGGGAATGACTTCCTGGGAATGAGGGTTCTGCTTCCAGGGAAGGAGGGTCCTGTAGCATGTATTAAATAAGAAATACAAATACTGCCAGCACAAACTGCTCAGAGCCAGGGAAAAGAGAGGCATTAACAGGAGAGATCTGGGCTGTGTAACAGGGAGGGTTGGCACGTTACTGACGTGCCATAAGGCTTTATTCCATCCTTGGTGCATATCCACACAATATCCTTTACATGCCCAGCATTTTCAGATCTGAATGCTGGCTGCCTCACACGTCCTGTTTCTCTGAACTAGTTGAGTGATTAGACAGGAGCACAGTTTAAGTAAAAATATACACAGCAGCAAAGCTTATTAATGTCCCACTCATCAAGACTTCAGACACCATTTCTGGAGACAGCGGCCAGTTCCATACAGTTGTTGGGAAACCATAGTGTAGTGTCTTGTAAGTGCAGTGACCATGATGCAGCTTTGATCTGAGACTGTAGGTGATTTCTCATTAAAAAAATAAACATTTGCCAACATTTGCTATGCTGTATAAATATTAGTGTAATTTTTTAGTACAATCACATAAAGAGAGAACATCTTTAGACATAATTGATTCCATATACTATATAAATAAAAATATACTATGTATGGCATGTGACAAGTTGCTTAACATTAATTGAAATAGACACATTAGTTTTGTTGGATCTCTTTGGTCAGTACATGAGTGGAAAAGCTCTGGGATAATTTTTCAGATATTTGCCTACATGGCTGAAGAATTCAAATCTTTTTAAGGCAGTAGCAGGCTTACCAGTTTTCAGATAGGTG